CTCTCTCTACCTGTTCTGCAAGTTCTGACTATGTTTCAGTACTTACATTCTGTATTTCTGTTGTGTAGGATAGTTGTAGCCTGGGTCCCCTTACTAAGCCTTCAGGTCCCCTCTATACTGTTACTGACAGTATGGTCAAACAGATGAACTCTAGTAACTTGGAAGGCAGACTAGACAGTCTGTGAATCAAAGGTAAGTAAAAAGCTCCTTCTAAAAAGTCCAAGAAAATCCTGCTTCCTAACAGTTTGTAGCATCTGTGCCTCAAAATCATTAACCATGTCTTGCTAAATTCGTTTCATCTGTACAAAGCAAACCACATTAAGGCTCTAGAGAGTATGTGTACAGTGAGGAGGATACTCTAATAGTACAACATTGTGTTGAACTACTACTTCTAGCAGTTCAAACAAATAATGTGAGTTGTAACTATTAACAATAAGAACTTAAGTGTGTCCATGTGCTTTCTCTCTTGTTTCAGGCTCAAAATAATTTGTGAACCAATCTAGTACTATTTTACAGTCTGTCCAACCATTTAGAGAGCTGGTGAACCTGTTGCTCTTGTTAAGCAAGAGCTTATGAAGAAGTATAGGTACATACCTTACATCAGCTATATTGTTCTCTGTCCATTTGGACCATACACTATAACCTTTAAAGATAGTAACAGGCTTAGTGTATGTTCTATCTGTACAGATGGTAACAATAGTAGTAATGTTTTCTTGGTTTCTACCTCTACTTTTATACTGAATCTTCTTCCCTCTAACTCTAATAACTTGTTTAACAGTATCATTAGTAGATGAGAAACCAGTTTTGTCCATAGTGTATATTTGCCTAGGTAAGACTCCCTTCTTAACTACTTCCTCCTCCAGAATGTCAAACCATTTACTAACAGCTGTTAGATTTAGGCCATTTGCTTGTTGTGTATCAAGATGAGAACTCTAGTAAGTTTTTAGTTTAGTATGATGATGCTCCAGGAATCTCTGAACAAATGTAGGTCCTACAGACTTGTAACTTGTACTATATTGTGCCTTAAGGAGTTGATTAGCTGCCCTTTCAATGTCATTATGACTGAATGGGCAGCTTTGATTAGAAGAGATCCAAATAAGTTCTGTAAGTGCCTGATTGTCCTCCTTCATTAAACAGCATTTTGAAGTATTAAACTCTAGGATAGACTTTATTCTAGCTGCCCTATTCCTTAATGTTCTAACTGTAACCTCTTTAAACATACTAGCTACTCCTCTTAGTTCTAGACACTCTCTCTAGAGCTTTTTTTGGTCCAACTGATAAGCCTCAACTGCTTGACCCATATTCCTCTCCCTTTCCTCCAATTCCTCCCTTTTTTTTAGAGATTTAGACTTAGTATGCTTGACTATAGTGTACTAAGCAGAACAGAGAGTAAGCAAGTAGAAAAAAAGAGTAAAAAAACACTAATTTATTAGCAAGAGTATGGCAAATGCTCTGACACAATTCTCACACAAAGGTTTGGCAAATTACATCATTGTGTTGATCATTTCTCTCTCTGTCATACTTTCTTGACTTTTCTTAATGTTTACTTTTAATAAATTGTACAACTCAGTGTATTAAAATAAAAACTGTAGAATTGTATATTTTGGATACTAATAATCATATATGCAAAGTTTCAACTTGATTGGATTAATAGAAATATTACCAGAAAATTTGCAAAGTTTACTACAGGACAATTTTACTAAATTCTTTAACTGTCTGATTTTTCTTAATTTTATTTCTTGCTCAATTTCTCTCAAATCTTATATATACATTCGGGTCATATAGTAATACCTTGTATTAAATTTTCATAAAATAATATTAAGATTTGAGTAAGATATTACAGTCTGTTTAAAGGAACAGTTGTGTTTAAAGGAGCAGTTTTTGACTGTACTATATTTTCCTAAACTAGACTGGACCTTAAGGACTGAGGACTGGACCTAGGACTCATGTTTCTATTTTAATACAATGTAAAGGCTGGAGCCTTACTCAAGAACACAGAACAGGTAAAGACCTGGGATTAGAGAGGTTGACCTAAGTATAAGAGTAAGTACAAAGATAATCTCTAAGTGTTTACAAATAGCCCTTTATATACTTAACTAAAGTCATGTGTGTAACCTCAGAGGTTACACTCTTCCCTACTCTGAAGAAATAAAAAAAGGGGGGGGGGGGTAGGGAAGTAATTAATAGAGAGATAAAGGAAAGGATATAGTAAAGGGGGGGAGGTGAAATACAAAAGGGTAAGGACAGATAATAAGAAACACACAGTCACAAGTTTAAGAAGGCTTCAACTTGTCAAAAGGTAGGGAAGGATTAATGAAGAGGCAAGGGAAAGTATAGTAAGGGGGAACACATAGTAACTAGCCTAGGAAGGCTTCAACTTGTTAATGAAAATGTACAGGGACAAGGACTTTTGACAGAGTTGGTAGAAATAGTATCCCTAAGTTTTAACAAGTGTAGCAGGAGTGCCCCAAGTACTCTCTCTTATTGAGACATTAAGCAAGTGTCTACCTTATATACTACATAGTGAAGTCCAATAGTCTGAGACATTCCAAGTGTAGTAATTCTACATAAGGCAATTAGGGATTTCCTAATCCAGAGCACAATCTAATACTCCCTTCAAGCATTAATTAAGAACTAAGACTGTATACCTAATAGTTGTTTAGTATGCTTGATCTGTGG